TGGACAATTGACACGACTGAAACAACTAGTGAATCACAAGACTGATATTTCTTTCAATGTCGAATAGCTCCAAAATTCAAAATCAGCTTTAAAACAATTGGTAATCATTTGAAAGCTATAGGCATACACTATTACCAAAAACAATGAGGGTCAACAATATATTGAAAAACAACTTCAGAAAATTCTAACTCGTACACGTTGTTTGTCTCGTGTATTGTTAATAGATAATTGTGAGTTGCATACAAGTGTTACATCGCTAGATGTTAAGTTTAAAAGAAATCACAAGTTTATACCGAAATTATTAGTTTGTATTACTGTGTTTGAAAACGGCATTTCAACACCATTGTTCGCGAAACAAAAACAAACTATTACTCAAACAACGTATTTGAATGACTATATTTAACGCACGCGTTTTATACCATTTATTGAGAACTATGACACGAAAGACAAAGTGTTATTCTGGCTCGATTTAGATTCGAATGATTATAGTCACGATATAACATAGTATTTGGATGATAATGAAGTACAATCTGTAAAATAGAATGCAGTTATCAAAACTGCTCACAAATGCGTTCGATAGAAAGTTTTTGATCAATACTTGCTGACATGGTATATGACGAAGGTTGAGAAGCAAAAAATATTGATCAACGAAAGAGAAGAATTGCGAAAAAATCGAAACACATCGATCTAAAACTTGTACAAACTATGTTTACAGGCATTCATAAACAACTATGAAAAATTGCCGATAAAGGATCGTATGACGCTTGTTCCTCTTGATTTTTGAAACATTACAACTTGTACTAGGACTCCGCGTAAGATGAAACAATCCCGTTCCATGGGATGAAATATTTGAGAATAGTTTCATCGCATACGGAGCCCTGATTGGTACTTTTTTGTATTAACAATAAAAGATGAAAGCTACATGTTGAAATTAAAGACTTTGTACACGCAGATTAACAAGGAAATTTTGTCAAGTAGTAAATCATTTTCGAGAATGAATCTTACTTTGTTAGGTAAGCTCTCTTACAACTAGACCATTGTCAATGTGTCAGACTTTTTAATAGCTTCGATCCTGATATATACATATAAGAACAAAATTTGCTTTGTCCCCACATAACAGATTTTTCAATCTTCGTATCTGAGTATAGGACATGGTAGAAAATTATATACGTTCGTAATGAATTAGTCTTATTGAAAACTTTATTCGTGCAAACTTAAAATTTGAAAATAAGTTTTTAAAATAATCTGAAGCAACCCAAAGGATCTTTTTGTAAAATTCACTAAAATGGTCGTAAGTCAAAAAAGAAGATCTATTCACAAGAATTCATTTAGGCTTTATTTAATTTCAAGAGAATCTATCTAATGAGCTAAAACTTATCTTTAAAGCGATTTGTCATTTGACAAGATTCTCTGATAAGAAAAATGTTAATGTAAAAGGCATTTAACCCTGTACATCTTTTTGGTCTATTTTAGATACATTCATAGAATTTATCTATTTGGACTAATAAAGCATCAGATCGAGACAGTTTCGGAACATTACGTTAAGTCTTCAAGTAAGCTACAAAGTTGAGAAAAAAACTTTTTCATTATTCCTTGGCTAAGACATATGCATTAAAAAAAACGATGTTTTTTTAAGAAAACTAAAAAATCTGCTTTTTTTATTTACCTACAAACACTAATTATTCTGACCTTTGTGAAGTTGATTTATAATTCTGTGACCATAATTTATTTGTAAAATAGCTTTTAAAAAATTCTTAATTATAAATGTGAAAGCAGAATTTTTCATGATAGTTTCGCTCATGTTTTGACTCATTCATAGTGAGTAATATGAAAAATGGATTATTCTAGAATTATTTTGTTTTAGATATAAACTCATAACATAACACAGTTTTCATTATTAAAACTTTATTAGAACTAACAGTCAGTCAAAAAAGCATTCCACGGCTGTTTTTAAATAACTTCTTGTTGATAAAAGATAGAAACCCGTAGCTTTTGTTATGACTTTCTGTTTCAGCAAGATCTTAATAACAGGAATAGGTCATTTCAAACCGGAATCAGAACCAATGATTCTATATTATAAAAAGACAATGAAAACTAACGATTCTCGCATAAACCAGGAAATGAAAGACGTGATTTCAATCCGAAAACAACTGGCTTTGCAAATGTCTAACAATATATTATCCCTCGAAATTAATCTTTTTTTTAAAAAAACTAATCCACGGTTGGTAAGTTTCCAGTTTTAAAGGATGTCCAATACTAACTGATGATAAATTGTCAACGACATTTTTTCTACTTATTCTTGACATAGAAGACTAAAATTTTTCTCACATATAAATCTAACCAATATCTTTAATATTCCAAAGTTTTAACTGTCTAACTAAAACTAATGCTGAAATGTATGAACAAGATGAAAATACATGAATTTTTGTTCTTCGTGTTTGTGATATCTTTATTTGTTGATCAATGATATTTATAAACATTTGATAAAAGAAAATTTTACAAGACAAATTTTTTCAAAAAATATAAACTATAATAAAACTCGATGTGAATAAATACACTCTCCATTGCTTCCTATGACCAATTATAATTGATCAGGTATTTCGTCTATCATTTTTGCTTCAAAAATTTCTTCTATTAATTTACATTTTCTTTTTCTAATTGTAATAATGTATCGAACACTTTTCTGTGAAACTTTTTCGTTCAGTACACCTCATATATTTTCAATTCTTCATACATCAATAAATTTAACAACACTATCTAGTGATGTTATACATTCTTTACATAATTATATTACAACCCCATGCGACCAATACTCCATGTTGTTTTGAGACGACATAAATTCAATACAAACCATTTTGTAATCTTTTCTGTTTTCGTAACTCGTGAACATTTAAGATAAAATTCGTTATTAAATCACTCAGTTATAAAATAACAACATAACTACAAAAAACTCGTAAAAAAAATTTAATTAACAATAAACTCAATTTTTATACCATTCAAGACGAATGAATCATTTTTGACTCATTCTGCATCCACAGAGAGTGAAATGAATTCGACTCAATTTAATTATACCGCTGTCATACTTAGTACCTGCATAACCTATTCCTTGTGGTTGACTCAATATTAACTCTAATGGATGAATGGCAGGAAGTAATGAGCTAATCATAGTGGGCACAGAAATTGATTACTTCCTTGTACTAAAAATATTCTTCTGTAGATTATCGACATTATGTTACAGAATGATGTTACATCTATTAAATAAATTTCTTTAGAGAATAAATCTAAGAACTATATTGACTTCTAAATTAACAATTACTATTCGCGTACAACACATAAATATATTGTTTTTCAATTGAATTTATAACTAATTGTCTTCTGTCAAGGATAATAATTGCAATCATAATAAAACTACCAGCGTTGACATGGTCGTGAAAAATAAAATCATTTACTATAACATTATTCAATTGTCTAGTTGTTCTGAATAATAATCAGTCGAGTATTTATTGTTGTTTGACTGTGTCATAGTTAATCTAGATGAGATAAGATGAAATAGAATTTGATTGATTTTTCTTTAGGAATTCATTTTTTAGTGAAAGTTGACCAATTTTTTCATTGTAAAAGTGATTATTTTTGTCCAAGATATGATAAAAATCCCTTAGGTACTGAAAGAAAAGCTTGATTTAATGATATGACACTGGAATATTTGTCGCATGTCAATACAAATTTCAGTATAAACGTGATGTGAGTTCAATTTTTAAGTAGTAAAATTTTTATTTCTAACTACATATGTTTATAGATGATTAAGTTTTGATATTTTAAATAAGTCTTCATGAAAATAAAGTCAATGTATATGTGAAATATTTATTGAAGTAGTGAGGAAAAAACCATTGTTGAAATACAACATATGCTTTCTATATTCGAGTAGTAAATTAGCTTTATTTTACCATTGCTTCGTGATACAATCAATAAGATAGAGCCCATAAAAATGGTTAGTATGTATACAAAAAGAATTTATCGTTTCTTATTTTCATTCTTGGACAGAATAATAATGCATTAAACAAAAAACAATCGTTAGCTTGGGTTTGAACGAATATAGAAGGTCAGACATAAAATGCATGCATAGTCGAGAGAGCTCAATTAGTCGGAAATGGAAAAATTTTTATTCTATAAGACATTTTTTTTCTTTATTTAATCTTGACATATTACAACGAAAAACAACAGAAACATTTTCCTCTCTCGAAATATTCAATTGCAATTGTTGTTGTAGTTGGTTTTTTTTTTTGAACAAAGCTAAAAACTTTTATATTTTACATAAAATCATGTGTATATCAATTTTAAAGAGTAAAATTAATTTATTATTGATTGGGATATGTTACATATGAAAAAGACTCATTCAGGTCAAATGAAATTGTACTTAGATAGTAATCATGTTTCCGCTAGTATCTATATAAGACATAGATTTAAGCACTCTCATGTGTGCATTTCTCTCTCTCTCTCTCTCTCTCTCTCTCTCTCTCTCTCTCTTTTTTTTTTTTTTTCTCTGCCATAGTTTTTTTTTATATAACGAAATCCTTTTCTATATATGCGTTGTGCTACTTGACTCGGAGGAGGCAGAGTTAAATACAATAACAAGCGAACGAGAAATTGGTAGGAAAATGTAAGAGAAAAAAAATAGAAAGCACTGACTGATGTTAATGGAATAACGGAACAAGAGAGAGACGACTAGAAAAAGATGGGAGTAAATCAAGTGAAATCAATCCGTAAGTATTGACAACTGATCTTCTTTTTGTCATCGATCAATATTTGTCTTCGAAATAAGTATTCAATGATTTCCTGTATGTGAGTACTTTCCTTTTTATTCATCATCTTCATACCTGAATATATAATAAAATGCCAATAGATGGTTAAAAAAACGGTGACTGAGCGATCTCCGAAAAATATTTTTCACTCTATTTCTTTATTTCATTCAATTTCTAGATAATATTTCATAAAAAAAAACAATGAAACTCTCACCAAATCTTTTGATACTTGTCGGTACTCTGTTGGTGTTCGTATTCTACTTTGCATGTATAGGTGAAATAAAGTTTTGTTTTGTTTTTTGAACGTGTTCTTATTTGAAATAATAATTTAGATGCTGCTGCATTATTTCATGAAGAACCCATGGCTGAAAGTATGGAAAGCGATGAATATATTGGATCATTACGAAATAAAAAGGATTTAGATATATCAGCAACGCAACAATTAACTCCACATCCATTTCGTCGTCAACATCTTAAATTTGGGGTACTCGGTAAGCGTTATTCTTATGGTTATTTGGGTAAACGAACTGAAGGTATGATAAAATAATTTGAATTTTTATTTGTTTGTCTATGCTTGCTAAGTTATTTTTTTTTATTTTAGTGCCAAAAACTAATAACGATATTGAAGAATGGTTAAATGATATGCGAGAACGACGCGCTGGTCGTCCACAATACGGAATGTTAGGTTGAAATATCTGTACACAATCAATATCATACAAGATGATTAAATAAACAATGCCCTTTTCATTATTACAGTCTTTTATCATCATTGAACCATAATAACATCAATCCGAACAACATTATTTTGTCGTGTTTTGTCTGTTTGATAAAAGAAACCTTAAAAGTATTGGCACGCATAGATTCTTGTATTTTTTTTAATGTCAAATTCAATGCTAAGTATTGCTACTATAATTGAGGTCAAGCGATTCTAGAATGTTTCGTATTGTATGAAATTTGAATGTAAAACAAACAAACAAGTAAACTCTAAAAAATATTTTCTCAGGAAAAAAAATTAAAAACATTTAAGACCGGGAAAAAGGTAGGCCAAAGTGTCCTTCCGATTATAATCAATTTATCGTGTATATTTAGTAAGCTTTTCTTCAAAAAAATTTGCATCCTATTTCCTTTTTCATTCATGCAAATCTTCACATATATTTTTTGTATTATTTAATGTATATCAATTAGAAGAATATTTTCTTTTCGAAAAAAAAAACAAAACAATATTTATTGAATTAGATTTAATGATGATTTGCTATTAATGTAACAAAACAAAAAAGAATTCAGTAATTCTTATATACAAAGAAAGAAAAACAATATTTAATATGAATTTATTAAAATGAAATATTGTTTCATTGAAAATATTCTATATTGATGAGTGTTAAATTTAATTATAACCGTAATTGATTTATTAAAGCAAAGAAAATGAAAACAAATTACATCCATATTTATTGTATTCATACGGAAAACTATAATGAAATATTTTAAGAAAATTTACTAAAGCATAGAATATTATTTAGCAACGGAAGTACCATTGAGTTAATTTCATATATGCATCAAATTATTATAATTGACGTTGGCTTTTAAGTATAGAATAAGTTTATCAATTTAAATTAAATGTCAATATATTTCCATCAAATATCTATATTGAAATATTGCTATATCAACTTTTCTCCATTTTATTTGTTCATACAAAAAGATATAATCTATCAGAAATAATCAGTATATGAAAAACATTATGAAAATTAGTAAGCTTTTAGCAATAATTCATTTTTTCATTATATATCTCAGGATGTGGTTGGCCGTTACGCTTGTTCCAAATGAATCTAATTCATACTATTTCTATCGAGCAATTACAATTATTAAGTATAATCAAAAGAAGTATAAATATCTACTATAACTGACATGATAATACCTAAAAGTAATGCGAATTTCTTAGCTATAGTGTCACAAGAGCTATTATAGTGTTCAAATTTATTTTATCTTAATTTCATATTGTGATCTTTGCTTGAAAGTTCTCATACATTTAATAGTGCAATAAAACTTGTAGTCATCACTAACAAATTATAGGAAAAAGTAATGATTCATTAATGGGTGTTCATGATTTGACAGCTCGTCAAGGGATGGTTGTTTTTCAAAACTCAATCTTATAGTGTATTAGTCATGATAGATTATTAATTGTTGTTTGATATAATTATTCTGTTTTTAGATCAAAATAATGCATGAAAAGAAAATAGAATTTTGAATTCTTTACAAATAATTGTATATTGAACATCAAAATTAGTATTTGATGAAAAAGAATTTCGTTTAGACTTTTGTTTATTATATTATCAAAAGTATGTTATGAAATATACGAAATTATTCGCTTGAATTAATAGTTTGTTTTTGAACTACCGTAAGAAGGATTTTCTATATAAGTCATCGACTGTGAGTTCCAAGCTTGTTGTTGTGGGTAATAACCTTGAGCCATTGGTTGGCCATAAGGATTTTGTGAATTGGGATATGGATAATATGGTTGTACTTGTGTTGGATTATTTTTCTTACCACACAAAGCACATAGAGCTACAATAATTCCAATAATAGAAACAATTGTAAATACACCACCCACAACAATACCAATAATTCCACTAGTACTTAAATCTGAGCCGGTACTAGACATTATTAAAACAGCTTGAAGAATATGTTTGTTTTCAACTGACGAAAAAAAAAAAGCTACAAACGCTTCTTTTATTTTACCTTTTACGACATTTGCTTTTTTTTTAACCAAAAATATTCAAACAAAGAAAAAAACGAAAGTAATGGCAAACAAAAATTCTTTCAACTATGTATTTAACAAAATAAACAATGTATTGAATGCAAAGTTAACAAAAAAAAAACGTATAAATTCGAATAATATCATTAAATCTTTTAGAATTTATATTCAAAAGAATCGACTATGTTCAAATCAAACAAAAGATTTTTCTCGTCTTATAAAACTTTTATTTGTCAATTGAAGGCGTGACAGAAATTTAAAAATGGTACAATCGTTTTGTTTGCTTAAAATAAACATCAAATGTAACAATAACTCTTACATTAAGAAACATAACAAATTCTGGATGAGAAAATGAAGAAAAAAAACAAGTGCATTAGTAGGTGGCGAGAGAACTCTTATTTTTATATTTTTGAAGTTTTATATGAGCTGCAAGCTATTTTTCAGGTACTCTATTGATTTTTACTAGAAATAATATAGCTCAGATGGAATATCCTATGTCGTACGTTTGTTAGCACTACCGCTCGTATATCGCAGTTATCATGAGAACCGACCGTAATCCTTACGACTTTCGATACCAGCTATGAACAGTTGCAAAGAATGTTTTCTATTCAAATTCGAATTATTTATTAGAAAGAATTCAAATCAACCGAGAAAAAATAGATTCAGAATGTATTTTACTAATAAAATATTTTGCAGCACCATCTATAATACAAGTTTGTCTGATAAACTGGGGCTAATTTCATATCTATGGCTAGTACAGACGACTGGGACACATCAACATCATTAGAGTATCGAAAATAACTCAATTCTGTCAATTTTAACAGACTTCAAAAATATTGACCCATTTTGATACAACACATTAAAAAAACCACCAGTAGAGTCTCGATAGTTATCACATAGAATATCTGATCTAGTGTAATCCATAGCTAAACAAGTACAAACAAAGAATAGATATATGATGAAAAGGCATTTTCACTTTCAAGCATAATTCTATTATATATTTATCTTGATTAATGATGATTTATTATCTGACGAATTCTAAAATTTAAATGCTGTCATCATTCGACCGGTTTATTAACTATTATTTACATCGACTAGAAATCTGCGGGACTAAGTTTTTTTAGTTTCGGTCATAGTTTCAGTAAATCTGATCTAGTTCTGTTCCTGGTGATTTCTTTTTTTTTTTGCGTTCCGATCTAAGGAAAACTATGCCAAAATTTATTCATATCGCATCTAAAAAAATGTTTCAACAGTCGTTTTTTGATTTATTTACTCGACAACTAGCGTCTTTTTGAATCATCTGTCTTGAATTATGTTTTGATTGATGATTTATAAGATAATTCGCTTAAAACCATGGAATATTTAACTATAATCTTTGGTTTCAATTGGAACGACTTTTTTCTTGTAGTCTTGGTCAGTGAAGCTGAAACTAAAATTGATCTCACACACCTCTAGAATCGACAGAAAAAACTAAATAACAGCAATATTAGATAGAACGTTCGTTAATCGAGTATTACATATGTAATTCGTTCATACTAATTTTTAGCGTTCATTGATATTGATTATAATAGACGTGACATCTTTAGATTACTATTATCAAGCAGAAAAAAATCCAATATTATGTTGCATCTTATTTGCATTGACTCTATTTAAGAATTTTCAAATTATATCTTATATGATCTAGTTTATTTTCTTTTTCTTGTTGCTTTTGAATTGTATCAACCTCCAGTCATTTATATTGCTAATTGTTTTTACACATATTAGAATTATTTTTGTGAAAAAGTAAAAGTAAATTCATTATTAATTATCTTATAATTAAATATTTCATCGTAGAAATATTACAATACCGAATGTAATGATCTTCGATAATTCATGAAAATCTTACTGTTAGAAAAGTCGTCACTTTAATCACAGCACCTTCATCCTCATACAGTGTTATATGTGTAAAGTCACACCAAACACTATGAAGATGTGATTAAAGTAAAGATATGCCAATTAATTTTATCATGTTCTAGTTTACTGAAAATTGTTTTGTTTAGGAATTCAATTTGAATTCCTTTATTATTGTTAATAAATCAAAATTCGAACTTACGAGTATCTTCTAAACAGATGAGTTTTCTATGTTATAAATTGAATTACTCGAAGAATAATCTTATTTAACGACTCTAGGAAAAAATCAAGAATAGCGGTTAATCGAGTCTATCTTTGCGTTCGATTAAATTTTTTTTTCTTTACTCGAAATTAATAATTTTGTTTAGTAAATAAATACCCAAAATATCAAATTCTAAGTTTATTAGTCAATATTTTCTGATAAAACATTATTTAAAATCAATATGTTTGTATGACGTTATAATTGACAAGTCGATTTCGAGAGACATTGTGTAAGAAACGAATACGATTTTTCTCCACATATTTAACTTTTTTTTAGTTTTAATGGGATACAGACTGAATCATTTAATTCTAAGATAAATCAACAATATAGAAGAATCAACATTTTTCTTTATAGCATATTTAACTGAATGATTTCGTCTATTAAAAATTGACCACAATAAATTGCATTTTTACTTTTAGGCTTCTAATTTTTCATTGAAAATTATGAATATGTCCTCTTGTTGATAATCAGGAGATGATACATTAAATTCAGAAGATTGATCATATGACCCATAATAACTCGTGTCGATGGGCTGTTTGTAATCAGCAGCCGTACCAATGGTTGGTTGTTGTTTCTTTTTCTTGCACATAATACTGATAATAATGATAATAACTAGTATTGCTAAAGATCCAACAGCTATTCTAATAATTGTCCCAATAGATATAACTTTGCTAGTAGTGCAAGTATTAATCATACTACATAATATGATTGTAATGATTTCAAGAATGATTAAAAAAAAAAGTAATGTGAACTTTTTGAAAAAGTGATTCATTTGAGATTGGAAACATGACGATATTTTTATAGGTTTCTTTTTGTTTTGTAAATAACATTTAGACGACGAATATAGGAAATGAAAAAATGGAATAGAGAAAAAGAAGCCTATTAGTGTTCAACTAATAGCAATAGTTTGTTGACATAAAACATTGTCGAAATAACTCTGAATTTATTACAAACTTCTAGCAAAATATGTCAATATTATCTCTGTTTCTTATTAGACATATTCACAGAATCTTATCAAAAAGAAAAACGAATGGTTATTTGATCTTTTCTTCTGTACTCTGTTTTTCTTCTATGATTTCTCGATATTATTGGTTACTAAAAACTACTCATGTAATTCAAACTGAAAAAAATACCATGGATTAACCGTTCGTTATAATGTGCAACATACTGGGAATAGTTTGATACTTAAATGGTTGATTATTACCTGACCGTCATTCTACCGCGATATACTAATCGTTGTTCTTGGACCGGGAATCTACTGCTGATCTACCATCGGCTCTTAAAAGTACCGCAGTATGCCGACGGTAGTGTGAACAAACGTGTGACATGGGATAGTTTTCATTGATATAAAATAATAAACACAACTAAATTGAAAAAAATTGTTTCAATTTGTCAATCAAAGAAAAATACAATCAAATGTCTTTTTTCAATACTAAATATTTTCAAATAACAGTCAAAATATTATCACAGTTATAAAATATACTCGATATTTCTGTTATAATCATATGAATTTTGTGAAAGTCACATTATGTTTTTCAAAGAACAATATAGTAAGTGTAAATTTCAAGGCAAAGTTCTGCGATTACCTCCACAGAGCAACAGAAGAGTGGAAGAAAGGGGGCCATCATTGAATACGTTTTCATAGCAACAGAAGATCACTGGTATCATACTCCTTTTCGAGAGTTCTTTAACAACGAAAAAGGCATCGAACGGTATCAACAACAGAACCTTAAGTGTTTTAGAACGCCTTCAACGTCTTTCTTGAAATTTCAATGACTGGAATATGTGCAGATATGTCCTGATCAGGAGAGGAGCGACCTCGGAACACCTCTGAATACGTTTGTCAACGTTCTAAATAGTGCAGTTTTTGTTTTTTGCCCCAGATAAAAATTTGTATATATATATATATATATATATACAAGATGTCAAGCATGATGAGTAGTGGTGCTTTGATTTACCATCGTCATCATATGATCAACATGAAAAGCATGGCGTAATCAACTTATAACTTTGGGAAATCATCAATATCTGTGTTTTGGAACTTATTGAGATATATAGTAGTGTGTTGAGATCTGTTGCAGATATAACGGCTATGTGCAATAGAAAACAAGGCGAACAAAAAAAACAGAGCGTCAGTAGAAACAGAAAAATTAAATAAGACAGATCATTTCACTAGCGGTTGATTACCCTTGAAAAACAACTTCTAGTCTACCGAAGATTTTTTACTTGACGTATTTTTTTACTATTCTAATGAAACTAAAAAAAAGCACATGTGATGTCCACATTTTAGCTCCGAAGAGGCTGCGCTGGCAAGCCTTTTTTTCTGAAGATAATTTTGAGAGAGAATGCAATCAATGAAATAGTATTTAAACGAGTGTATGAAAAATTTTCAATAAACATTAATTTCATTTTATATATTATTCATATCAAAATATAATATGCTTCACTGTTTTTTGAATAACTCGTTTGATAGGAACATCATAGAGACCTGCGGTTTTCATCATTCACGAGAAAAGAGATTCGAGACCATCGAAGTATGTTGAACTTTGCTTAGTCAGCAATTGACTAATTAGGTGAGTTCTTGGTGAAGATTTTCGAATACAACTTTTTAAAGCTATTTTCCTTTCGATTTAGAATTTTTAGAAAAAATTTCTTTCTTTCGAGCTACGCAAGTTCGACATTGCTAGCTTGTGTCGTTGGAGAGTTATAAGACTTTTCCTGAGACTCCAAGTTTTAGCCAATTGATCTGTGATTA